TTTCCACATTGGGTGTTTTTTTTCAATGTGCTTTCACATTGTGTTCCCGTTCTCGTTGTTGTTGGGATTGTTTCTGTTTGCTGTTGTGCTGCCGTGTTGCACAGTAGAACGAAGCCACCTCCCACATGAAACCATGCACTGCGTGCGCCTCGGAACGCACCTCGTGACCTTCCAAAAGCAACATCGTATTCGAAGACCTAACACCTGAGACCCACCAAAACCCATCCCGTTTAACTCTCTCATGCACGCAATCTAACCCCTGACATGCAAAGAACTCTCACGCGGCAACACTGTAGGATGTAGTATAGTCGTAGTCGTCGTAGTAGTATAGTAGTAGTAGTAGTAGTGGTGGTGGTGGTGGTGGTGGCTAGTCGTAGTAGTAGTAGTAGTAGTTGTTGTTGTTGTTGTCGTAGTAGTTGTCGTAGTAGTAGTAGTAGTAGTAGTAGTAGCAGTATATAGTAGTAGTAACATAGTAGTAGTAGAGAAAAAGTAATATAGTAGTAGTAGTAGTAGTAGTAGTAGTAGTAGTAGTAGTAGTAGTAGTATAGTAGTAGTAGTATAGTAGTAGTACTAGAGTAGTAGTAGTAGTAGTAGTAGTAGTAGTAGTAGTAGTAGTAGTAGTAGTAGTAGTAGTAGTAGTAGTATAGTAGTAGTGTAGTAGTAGTAGTAGTAGTAGTAGTAGTAGTAGTAGCAGTAGCAGTAGCAGTAGTAGTAGTAGTAGTAGAAGTAGTAGTAGTAGTAGTAGTAGTAGTAGTAGTAGTAGTAGTAGTAGTAGTAGTAGTAGTAGTAGTATAAGTAGTAGTAGTGTAGTAGTAGTAGTAGTAGTAGTAGTAGTAGTAGTAGTAGTAGTAGTAGTAGTAGTAGTAGTAGTAGTATAGTAGTAGTAGTAGTAGTAGTAGTAGTAGTAGTAGTAGTAGTAGTGTAGTAGTAGTAGTAGTAGTAGTAGTAGTAGTAGTAGTAGTAGTAGTAGTAATATTGTAAAGTATATCAGTAGTATATGGTATAGTATAGTATAGTATAGTTGTATAATCGTAGCGACATAGCACCAGCAGCAGCAGCAGCAGTATAGTAGTAATCTAGATTGATATAATATACATTCAAAAAAGCATACAGCCCCCTCTACATTCTCCTGAAGCAACGTCGCTCCCCATGGTCTACATACGTAGCTATATAATGCATAATAGTTGTCCCATATGAACTATATTTAGTACATGTATGTAGTACATAAATATATATATATATATATATATATATGTATATATATATATATGTACATATATATATATATATATATATATATACATATAACATGGACTACCAATAAGGCCACAATCTCTCCTATACATGACTATACAGAGCAATCCTACATATGTTTTATGTACTATGTAACATATAGAATAAGGTTATGTAATATATAACATACGCTACCCATAAACCCACAATCTATCCTATATTTGACTCTTTAGGGCTTAGGGTTTATAGGGTTTGTTTAGGGTTTGGGGTTTAGGGTTTAGGGGTTTAGGGTTTATAGGGTACATACAGAGCATGCGCGATGCAACCAAAAGGCCACATTTTGCTCAGCCAAGGACGGCGAGGAGGTTGGGCTTGCTGGCATCGAGTCCGCACGGTCATTTATCATACTTATGTTCACCAACCCTACATGTAGAAAGTCACACAATTAATTTGGAATATTCATGATATACAATGTGAAAAGGACTCATCCCCAAACTACGCGAAACCTATTATCTATACCGAATCTCCCGTGGTCCTCGGACTGCCCTGTGCCAAGCCAATTTGGGGTGAAACGTGGCTCCAGCTGTTTAAAAAAGATGCACATGTGCCACTGAGTATATATGTCTATGCATGACGGCATGTCAGCATGTATTGCGAACTGCATGTGTATGCATGACGGCATGTCAGCATGCATTGCGAACTGCATGTCTATGCATCATGGAATGTCAGCTGATGCCACTAGTCGTGCCAGCTATACCTTCCCGGGGCAGGAGACATGTTGGCAATCTGTATGTGCGGCAGCCCGTCGTCGTCGTAGTTGTAGTAGTAGTAGTAGTAGTAGTAGTAGTAGTAGTAGTAGTAGTAGTAGTAGTATAGTAGTAGTATAGTAGTACTAATAGTAGTAGTAGTATAGTAGTAGTAGTAGTAGTAATAAAAGTTGTAGTAGTAGTAGTAGTAGTAGTAGTAATAGTAGTAGTAGTAGTATATAGTAGTAGTAGTACTAGTAGTACTAGTAGTAATAGTAGTAGTAGTAGTGGTAGTAGTAGTAGTAGTAGTATAGTAGTAGTATAGTAGTAGTAGTAGTAGTAGTAGTAGTAGTAGTAGTAGTAGTAGTACTAGTATATAGTACTACTATATTGTAGTATAGTACTAGTAATATAGTACATGTAGTATATAGTGGTATAGTGTTATGTGCTAGCAGTCCGGCCGCACTTCACACAAAGATCACCTCAGTGGGCAGGCCAGCCAATTGCGAAGGCATTCTATGGCAGATGTGCTTCATCGACTTGCCCAGAAACCGTATGTGTTGGAGCTTAAAAAATATAACGATTTTAACAAGTATACTCAGTATTATATATAACCCCTTTAAGGCTTCAGGGATCAGGATCTTTTTGGTTGCAGGGGGTACTTATCTACTTGGGCAGCATCGTCGCATGAAGCACATCCGCCATCTTGGCCATGCCATCCACTGCCCTGTGCAGCGTCTGTTTCTCTTCACGGCTCCTCCTTTTGTGCTGTTCTTTGGCTCCGCCTCGCACGCGAGGCTTCGTTCGGCCTTCTCCAGGCCTGAGTTGGGTGTTTTACATAGGTGGGAGTTTAGGGTTTAGGGTTTTGGGTTTAGAGTTTAGGGTGGGATTGTGTGCTAGAAAAAGGGTCCTTCGCCTGGCCTGGGATATAGTTTTAAGGAGTTGGTATGCTGTAAAACTGGTTTATACATTGTATAACATTATGTAATTTCGCGGTGATATAATAAACAACCCTTTGAAACCACTTAAACCCATATGTAAATGAGCAGAGGTACATGCACACATGCATGTGGCATCAGTAGAATGCAACTGTGTAGCTACATGTACAAGCACAAATATACATATGTAGATATGTGCACATATGTTGTTTAGGAAACATGCACATATGTGAAAGCACACATGTGAAAAGTATATGTAGGTGTTCTCTATAACAATATATTTTCTTATGTACTATATAATTAAACGCAAACATATCTACATAAGTCCAGTGACTTGTGGTGCACTCCATTCGCATCGACATAGCCGCGACCGTTGGGCAAATAGTACCCTCCTCTGCCGTCGGAAACATAGCCCTGCCGGTCACCCATGCCCCGGTATCCGCAAGAGCTCGAGGATCGCTGATCATCAGACCTGAGATTTGATACAATACATACGAGTACAAGGAGTCTATATAGGACCCTATATACATATATAAATATAAATACAAATACAAATGTAAAATCTATATATATATATATATATATATATTTATATGTATTTATATTTATATGTATATATTTATGTAATATTGGGGTATATATATATATATATACATATATATATATATATATAGCGGACTGCATACATTCCTGTATGTTTATTATAGTGTGTTTATTGATCGCTTCCATTGTGCATGCACTCTGAAATCTGTATAATGTGCACACTTCTGCACAGCATGAATTATATACTGTTATATAGATGATAATACATAAGTATGAAACCAGAAATAAAACCAAAAGAAAAAACCTTGTGTAAGCATATACAACATTAACAGCGCTGAGTACGATAGCTTGCTTCATGCACGTGTGTCTAACAAACCGCTGCATGCATAATGTGCCTTAATCATATTTATGTATATTATATATATATACACATAAGTACATATATATATATATATATATATTATGCACATATGTTTCAATATATATATATATATATACATATTTAGAAATATATACATGCACATACACTGCATGTCGAGTCGCCCTTCCGACTTGCCCCTCCACGGCTGCCAGCTGCTCCAGGAAGCCTTCTGTCGCTTTGCCCAACCAGAGCCCCAGCCACCATAGCCAGCATTGCCCTCCCGCTTCACGCTGTACCACCCATTCCACCGGCTCTGATCCTGCTCTTCGTACTTCATCTCCTCGTTGAGCTCCTCTTTCCACTCGTCCTCCTCCTCTTCCTTCCACCATGCATGGTCCTGAGGACAGACACGAAGGAATATATACGAAGGAGTGCTTCGTTAGGCTGGATATATAGAGGCTTTTGCCCTATATTATCTTATTGTTTTTTACTCCATACGAGATCCCCTGAGCGAGCTTTGTGTAAGGAATGGGGCTTATATTCGGAGAATTTTTTCAGGGACTACACATTTTGGGCGGTTTTACAGAATTAAATCCAATGTTTACACAGCTTATGGGTGCTACATAGGTGGAACATTACTTCAAGGGTTTTTTATGCTCACGCCGGACCTCGCCGTCGTCTTCGAAGTCGAATGCCTCCTCGTCCCCATCCCCCATGTCACGGCATGTGACCAGACCATAGCCATCCTCGTCCTCCTCTGACTTCGCCATGGCTATAGTCTATGCTTTATAAGGGTGCAGAAGAACCTCTGTATTCTAATTGTAGTCGGTTTCTACATTGGAGTCGTATATAGTCACTCTCGCACCGAAAATAGCACGTGCAGCCTATCGCCCCAGGCAACGTAGCGGAAGTGCAAGCAAGCTATACCTTCTGAAATATATACCGAAATCAGGATAACACCCACAAGGCTAGCACCAAACTTACTCTATAGTGAGGCCCAACTGGCCAACAAAGTTATATGACATCTGAATCTATCAGGATTGCTCTATGATATGATCTGAACATCGAAACCCTCGAAACCCAAAAACTTGCCGCTGCTTCCTCGCTGCTGCATGTGCTGCGGCGGGCGGCACTTGGAGTTCAGCTTTTTAAGGATTCAAGGGTTTAGGGCCTCAGAAATGTAGGGGTTTTCAGGGTTTAGATATATACATTTATACATATATAGGGTAGAGGGCTCTATAATGGGAGTTTCTACGGATGGGGGTTTAATGTTAAAAAGCTTATGTCCAGATAGGGGTGTCGGGGATTTGGGTTTACTGGGTTATAGAGGGTTAAGCGCCTACCAGGTTTCCGGCTTTGCGGCTGTTGGGCCTTTGGCCTGATAGGCTTTTATATCCTATATAGGGCTTAAGGGTTCAGGGGCTTAGGCGTCCAGGGGCTTCAAGGTTTCGGGCTGCATGCACTCCAAGGGTTTCATAGAAGTTTGGGGTTTGGAGGCGTTTGGGCTTCTGTGTGTTTGGGCTTTGAGGCTCTATATATATGGGGTATATATACGGCTTTAGCATTTTGGGCGCTTATACATATAGTCGTTCAGGGGTGTTGGGCTTTCGGGCTTCTATACATAGGGGGTTTCAGGCTTTGTAAGGATTTGGGGCGGTAAAGTTTAGTGGCTCAGGGGCGTTCCGGGGTTTAGGCGTTACAAGGCTTCAGGGTTTCGGGCTTCAGAGGGTTCTAAAGGTTAAGGGCTTCAGAGCGTTCACGGCCTTTGCGGTTTTAATGGTTTGGGAGCTTTTCATATAGTCGTAGGTGGTGGTGGTGGTGGCGGTGGTGGTGGTGGTGGTGGCGGCGGTGGTGGTGGTGGTGCAGGTGATAGCATAGCATAGCATATAGTGAAGCATAGTATAGTATAGTAGTATAATATATATCTGTATTTATTTATAATTCAACATAAACACATCTATATTTATATATATATATATATATTTATTCTTCAGTGCAAACACTCAAACAGAAGCACACACACAGACATTCACGCATATACAGAACAAACCGCATGCACGAGCATGTCCCTGCACAAGACAAGTGGATTTGTGCTCAGCAGCCGCAAAACCATGATCGTGCCGTTGTACAGCAGCTCTCCATCTAGGAGCCATTGATGATGCCGTTGACTACATCCTCATTCGAGTCGGACTCCTCAGGGACTGGCGGGGGGGATTCCTCCTGCAACGGCGCCGCTTCTTCGCTAGCGGGTGCCTTGCGCTTGCGGCCGCGGCGGCTCTTCCTTTTGGGGGAGCCAGCATCAATGGGACGTGCTTCCTCCCCACGAAGCTTCTTGCGACGACGAATCGGTGCGTCGCTCTCTTGATGCTCCATCAAGCCGCGCCGCATGAACAACCCCAGGTAATCCAAGTTCTCTGGGGTAAGCTCCATCCATAGCACGGGATCTTTCACCGACCAAATGGCCGCAATGTTCCGAGCAGGCATCGTATCCCCCCCGAAAACCACCTCTGGACACTCCATCACCACCGTCCGGCCTGCCACGTAGACGTCGGCTTCTCGAGCATTTCGATATTGCGGCTCCTTGTCGCCCGCAGTAGCCGCGGCATCCCGAATGTGCCGGTTGTACGCGCGGTCACACGCCTCCTTCCGCAGGTCGAGCAATTCTTGAAAGGCCTTGATGCTGAGATGGTGTGGGTCCTGGATTATAGTCGCTCTATATATATACACATATACATATACGTATACATATATACATATACATATACATATATATATATACTCGCCCTACATACACCCTATATATACATAAATAAACCTGTACATCTATATACTTGGGGACACCCGGGGTTTGGCATTATAAATCTTATGTCCAAGAGAATGAACCCTAAGTTCCTTCTCTTTCTTCAGCTGGACAGTGTTGCCCGTCACAAACTGGACAAAGGAGCGGTCCCATTTGTCGATCTGAAGAAACAGCTTGTCCTCTACCTCCTTGGTCTTGACCAGCCACTTTTTTTTCTTCAACATTCCCCCCGTAATCGCCCAGACCTGCTGCATCTCGGTCGGCTTTGCCATCGGCCCTGTGCGCGGGTCTGAAGAGATGAGGACGATAATCCGATCTTGTTTCGCTGTCTGCGAGCCTCAAGCCCTGCAGACGTCAAAAAGCCTTCTAAGATTTGCACAATGCCCCATGCAACTTGTGCAACGAATCTCGATGCAATCGCCAAGCATGCTCTCATGCACAATGGCAATATTTTCTCCAAAGCCATGCTGGATGCTCCTGCTCTGCAGAACATGTCACGGGCGAGAATACATCCCTGCCCGTGGTCAAGCGAACCCACATGCTCTGCTCGACCTGAAAAATCGGAGCCCACAGGCTCTAATCGACTTGAGAAATCTGCTTCGGGATTATGACCCGGCGGCTTGAGTATAATATGTAAATGTGTATATATATATACATACATACTTACATTTAGATATCTACAGAGGCGCAGTTGTTTATTGCACTATATAACGCGGAAAGAAAGCACATTCTACATCGATATATAACTGGTTTTCATTTCATATACATGTACATATGTACATATCTATATAATGTCTTCAGAGGCCGAAGGCCAGCCGCCTAAGCCTTTCTGGGCTTCTTCTGAACAGGCAGCAAAGGCTCCGGCTTCGCAGCTGTCGCAGCTTTGTACAAAACCAAAGAGTCGCCTGCGTTCACGACCTTGGTGTTTCTAGCCATGGGAATGTGCCATGCAACTGTGTCGATCTTTAACCTCCTATTGGAATGATTTTTGGGAACGAGCTCCATGTTGCATTCTGCAACGTTCGTGGAGGTCCGCAAGACCCAGAACGGGTGCAACACCTGCTTCGGGGTCTGCTGCAAGCAAGAGCTGAGCAGGATGTCGTAGATCTCCCCCTGGATGTCTGCCGTGCCACAGCAGATGCTGGAGCCAACACTGCTGCCGGCTGGCTTCAGATCGATTCGATGCGTGCTGGCAACAATTTGCAACATGCCCTTGTCGAACTTCTTGGTGGTCCTGACATCCTTGGACGGCTTGAGGAACACCTCCAGGGCGTCATAGTGCTTCGCGCCGGTGGCTTCCTCAGCGGTCATGTGCTCCAGGATTTTCGCCCTCCACAGCTGGATCTCGAAGTCTAGGGAGTTCACGGGGAGACTTTCCAAAAAGGGCACCGCCAAAGCCTCGGCCTTTGCGGTAAACTGTTTCCACTCGCCTGCCAAGAAGTTTTTCGCGGGGACTTTGACGACATCCTTCCCCACCAGGAGCGTCACATCGGTGGCGCTCATGGCCTGGATCTTGGCTTTGGCGGAGTCGCTCTTCCGGAGAACGTCTTGGCCGATGTCGAAGCCGGCGGATCTCAGGCGGGCATCATTGGTGTCTTTGCCCGCTTCGTCAAGCTCGCAAAGCCTCAAGAATAGTTGTATCAGATATATATATATATATATATATATATATATATATCCGATTGCATGGACTACATGTCTATATGTGTGTACATTGGTGTATATACATATATATATATATATATACACAAAATACATGTACACATGCAAAATTGAATAGCTTTATATATAGGAACATATATATACTACATATATATATATATATATATATATACATCTCTATATATATATATACACATTACATATGTACGCGTAGATCAAGACATCTGTTAATGCCAATTCCAAGTATCCCTATATATAGGTTTGCTTCTATCTGCTTTGCCTGACTGTGCGAATATGTCCTGCACAGTATTCTGCGAGATTGGCACCCTGCAGAATGGAGACCATGACAACATCTTCACATGGCCATGTTGAGCACGACGAGCAAAGCACAGTCACCCTCCCTCTTCAAAACGCAAAGCCCGTTTCTGCGTCGCTCGTGGATGTGCATATATCGGATATATATATATATATATATATGTGTGTGTATATAGACGTGTATATGTGTATGTATAATGCGAAGATCTGCCACCAAGCGGCACCATGGCCTGGTCATTTTTGCCTGTCTTACCCGACGGCGAGGAACTACTTGCCTTGTGCTGGTACGGGTTCGGGAAACTCAGCTTGGCGTCTCGCAAAATCGTGTTCACGCAGTCCTCGGCCGCCTCGTCCACTGTGTCGAATTTCTGGATCTTCTTCTTCTGAAGCAGCACCGCAATCATGTGCACCTGGAGAAAGCCCAATGCCTTCAGAGCGATATGAGATGGAACCGCGTGCTTGGAGCATAGGTCCTTGCAGTCCGTGAGGATTTGGACCACTCTGCCGGTCTTCGCATCCATGCTGGGAGAAAGCAGTTTTTTGATGTCCGTCATGGTCAAGGCCCTGGCATCCTCGACGGTGTATGCAAAGTGCAGAATCATATGTCGTAGTTGGGCTTGCGGGTCCCTGCCTCTGCTTTCCACATTCAAAGCTTCGAAGACATCGGGTCCCAAAGCACGACTGTTGTGTCCTTGGCCACGGACGAATCTCTCCGTCTCTTGCAGAAGATGCCCGGCTTGCCCGCCCGAGTACCGCAGTGTAAAGACGAACAGGGCTGGAACCGTGCCTGCTGCACGCGGCTTGGACCGCAGGACTGCGTCCTTCACATCGTTGTAGGCCACGAAGTCCTTGCCCTGGCTCTGCTGCCTCGCGACCTCCGCATGTATTTTGCGGCAGAGGTGCAGTTCGGACTCTTCCCGGGCCAAGTGCCCGGCTGCGTTTGCAGCAGACTGTGCCAGAGCGCAGAAGCTCGGAAAGCGCTGCGGAACGGCC